TAACCCAACAGAAACAGAACCAATGCCACCCCCATTGCCCCTGTCATTATTCCAAACCCCGCCGCCCACCCAACATTATCCTGCACCAAAGCATAGTCACAAATTTTGGGTTTCAGCACTTCAATAACCATTCACCAATTTCTTTTCTAAAATCACTAAGCAAGTTGCATACTTGTTTCTTACTTTTAATAAATAAATGACGTTTAGAGTCGTCTCATGTATAAGAAAATGAAAAACTGTTACAGCTAAGATTCATAATTTTGGGATTTGTTCACTAAACTAATAATGCTAAAACAACATTTGAGTTTATGAGCCTAAAATTTCAGAAAACCCCTATCTGTGCTTGTAAATATGATCTATGCTGACCTGCACATATATGACTGCCAAAGTAGCCGTGGAAGCACCAACAATGATCCCCATATACCACCAGTTGAAGAATGAGCTTTTCGCCTTCTTCTCCTCCGGCGAGTCTTCATCAAACTGGTCGGCCGCAAAGGTTTGTACACATGGTTTGTGGCCACCTTGACCAATTGCCAATGTGTAAAGTGATACAAAGAACATTGCTTTCTGATAACGCCGAGGAATTATGGAAACTGTTACGGTTAACATTACCATTGCCTGAAATTAACTTGAAAAGTTAGCAATCGTGGTCTGGAATTAAAATGGTAGTAAATAATGAAATTTCTGAATTTAATTGTAGGTTCCACATCTTCAGAGTCAGTCAATATGGTAGTATAACCATTCAATATTATAAGTTGTCGTGCTTTGACAATACGTACAAAGCAATAAATGATCGATGAGACGAGAATGGTGTTGAATCGACCGAGAAAGGCGTCGGCGACGAAGCCCCCAATTATAGGGAGGAGAGATGAAACTCCAACCCAAGTGTTGACATTCTTTGCAGCCTTGGGGATGGGCTCATGGAGTTCATTTGTGAGGTACGTGATGAGGTTTCCAGCCGTGCCATAGTACGAAAATCTCTCTGCCACCTCAACAACTACAACAAGAAAATAAATTACCAAAAAGAAAAACAGTAGCCTGAATTGAATAATTGTAAGAAAATGAAAAGGTTTGCTTACGGATGATGAAAATTGCAGCACTCCAGCCGCCTCTTGAACTGGAAGGTTGTTCTTGTCTGATAAGATTCTTCTCTGTGTCTTCACGGCCATTGTGAATACTTAGTTGGGATGGAGATTCTGAGCTTGCCATAAGAATATTTATGTCCTTTTCTCAAGCATTGAACAAACAGCTATTCTCTAAGTGAGATAACCATTTTGCTTGGAAAATATACTTATCATACATACAATGATACACATATACAGGATTTGTTAACTAAAGGAGTAGGATTCTCCCTTTCTCAATTTTCTTTTTTTCTCTATTATTTTTTTATTTGAACTGTTATGATTAAGTCACGTCAACATCTTATGTTGACTTATTTATAAAAAAAAGAAAGATAAAAAGGAAAGTGTGAGACAAAAAAGAAAATGTAAGAGGAGGGGAGGAAAAAAAAATTTGGTGAGAAGATAATTATATTCTGTTGTATATCTATAAGAAGTTATTATTAACTTTCTAAAAAAATTATTGCGCAAAGAAAAGCATTTAGAGGAAAAATCTTATTTCGTTATATACTTATAAGAATTTATAATTAACCTTCTAGAAAATTTTATTACGCACTTTAGATTTCTTATACTTACTAATAAAACTTACTTTATAGGGTATGCACGATAGATTTTTAAAACGAAAATAATAACACCCTTAACATGTGAAATTGCTGTAATTTTATATTGACACTAGTACACGCAGAAGAAGTGAAAATTTTTTATTATGACAGGAATATAAGTGGTGTATTATGTGTTTTTATATAAGTGATGTGAAATTTTATATTTTATGTTATTAACCCTTTAACATATATATCTCATAATTTATATAATGATACGTCGTGTACCGATCTAAAAAATCTTTCGCAGAAGGGACGTGAAAGTTAGATGTTTTGCTGCCAGTGGAGAGAAAAGATGCTTTTCTTAATTAGCAGGGGTTTCTAAAAATCAACGTGCTTTTATTTCGAAGTCATTTGTTTACTCTCAGCAATTTTTCCTCCCCTCATAAAGTGTTGGTTGGGCCCACGGTCACCAAATGATAAAATAATGGTAGATGTGTATCCTTTTTTCGGGAAAAAGGCGGATGTGTATCTGCTAACTTGAAAGCAAATGGGGTTGAATGCTACAGTCTTATATTTGAATAAATGGAAAAGCCGCCCACAGCATTTGGAAAATGAATTTAATAGTCATATTATGTATGCTTATAAATAAAGAAATTTAACGAAAAATTATCAGTACTATTTATTTTAATAAAAAATTATATTTTTACATTAAAAATCAATTTTTGTACTATTCATTTTATCATTTATTTTATCTTTATTGTTAAAACTCAAAGTTTTCAAGTCATTGTTATTAATTTTTCTTTATAAATAACCAAAAACTAAGAATTTTTTTAAGGAAATGACGGTTTAAAAAATTAGATTTTTTATGAACTCTTAGTCACCTCATAGTTTAACGTTAATTTTCGTACTAATATTATAAAATATATTGAAAAAATGCAATTCCAACAAATCAACTCTTTTAAGCTCCTGACGAAAGAAAGTCGACATTCAGTATTATGGTCTGATAGTATTTTGATGTATTATAAAAATAAAAAATAGAAGGAAAGCCTACTATGATCATATCTTCTAGAATGGCTTTTTTAACCACGAAACGACTTAATCAAATGCGATAAGCGGGCTTCCATCATATAATTTTATACAAAAATCCAATAGTAAAATCAAATGGATGAGTGGGCTTCCATGATATAATTTTATACAAAAATCCAATAGTAAAACCAGATCTACTTTAAGGAGAGGCAGATAATGGTGGGATCGGAACGGGCGCAATGAAAGTTGTTTTCTTGAATAAACAAAATCAATGGTCGTGCTTATTAGAACTTTATTAGGCAACGTTAACTCAATTGGAATAATTATTTATTTTTTAATTATTTATGAAGAATATAGAATGTGATTTTTAAAGCTTTAATAATAGTTCTACTCAAATATAAGATATTTCATTTAAAAGTGAAAAAGAATACTGTTAGTGTTAAGTGATCTAAAGTTTGGTGTTGACTCTATTTTTTATTATCAATAAAGAAAAGAGAAAATTGTAGCAATAATCTCTCAACTTTAATCAAACTAGGGTAATGGTCTCTCAACTAAAAAATTCATGACCATTGGTATCTTAATTCTTAGCAATAATCTTTCAACTTTAATCAAACTAGAGTAATGATCCCTCAACTTTAACTCAACTAGAGAAATGGTCTATCAACTTTAACTCAATTGGAATAATGATCCCTTAACTTTAACTCAATAGTAGCAATAGTCATTCTAACATAACTTATTTTAATAGAACTTTGACATAGTTAACAAAAAGGACCATAGCTGCACGTTTTGATGAGTTAAGGGATCAATGGTCATGATTTTTTTTTATTAAGGGACTATTGCTATAAAAAAAATTTTATTGATAAGAAAAAATATAGTCAACATCAAACTTTAAGTCACTTAGTACTAGCAGTATTTTTTTTACTTATAAGTGAAAGATTTTATATTGGAAGATAACTATTATTAATACTCCAAAAATCTCATTCTACAATCTTCATAAACTATTATTAATACTCCAAAAATCTCATTCTACAATCTTCATAAGTGTATTTTTCTTTCTAATTATAGACACTTTGAAGTGCAAAATGAGATTTTTTGAGTGTCAATAACAATTCCCTATTTGAATCTCGTAATAATGAATTTACAACTAATTAATTTTCTTATCTTTTTTTTCGAGTAAATTGGTGGCATTAGTGGGTTATACAGTTCATTGTTAGGGGGAAGGGGAGTCTATGGGATTCAAAACAACACTAAGGTGCATGTGCATGATTGATTTCCGACACTACGGTAAAGCAACATCTTGATTTCCCTACCTTTAAGTGTAAATATATTTGTAAATATATCGTTATATTAAAAAACAAAGGAAAATGCTACAGAGATTATGTTTTATATTATATTTTGTAAATCATATGATGTGGTGATTGCTGGTTGAATAACTTCTTTAATGATTTAAACAAAGAATCCAACTATCAACTGTCACATCATATAGTATACAATATATAGTTCAAGTAGATGGTGTATCTAGCTTCGCTCTAAAAATAGGTATAAGATAAACATCTAAATATTGCAAACAATGCAATATTAGACTCCTTTCATGGACGGAGCTAATGAAGGCTCACTGGGGGCAGATGCCCCCATTCAAGTAATTCGTTTGTTAAGTTGCATACTAGAGTTATATAATATACACGCGTTATCTTTGAAGAAAATATACATATCTAATATCCAACATATACCTTCATACTACTTATACTCTATAGCAAATATTATATGAGCAAAAGTACTCTTACTCTGTCATTCAAACTGAAAAACTCCTCTCTCGCCTATCATGTATTAATATTTTTCTCATCACTTTTCCCCTTTCCACTACTATACTGAAATTTTTGTAACATGGAATTGTGATACATCATCATTTGAAAGCATCCTTATTATCATATATTGAGTAAGCCATACTATAATAAGGTTTTCTTAGATAATTTTTGAGATGCCCCACTAAAAGAAATTTGTAGCTCATCCCTGACTCCTTTCAATGCAATCAAATAGAAAGCTCCAAGAGCACTATATTCTAACAAATTAGACTAAACAACTTCGCACTATAAAAATGGGAAAATGTCAGAAATATCACATTTTGTAAACTACATAGAAACCACTTCTCTAATAGAGATGAAATATACTTGCACGTTGATCTTAGTTTTATTAGAGAAATGATTTAAATGTGATAGTTAATGTTTATCTCAAGCCACAATTACCAAAACCCTAAAATAGTGTGCAATCCTAAATCATGAAAATTACTGCCACCGCTCTAGGCAAAACCACCATATATCATTGTGGAAGATTGGATGGATCTTGGGAAAGAATGTCAACAACGATAGCGAATAAGGATCCTTGTGAATGGATATGTTGGTGCAAGATTCAGTTTGTGGGTAGGTGTGTTTGCACCGTCTGATTAGATACAAATTGTTTGTACCAAGCAGCTGATAGTCTTTGAGTCCTCTTGAGAGTGGCGTAATCAACACGGTGAAGTCCAAACCGAACCCTTAAGCCACTCGTCCACTCGAAGTTGTCCAGCAACGACCACACCACGTACCCTCTTACATCTGCTCCTTTTCTGACCATATTTAAAATAAGATAAAAAATCAATTAACTTTTTCACCGCATTTGATGATTTGATACTGTGTTTCACATTTGAGATTCGCCAAAACATCACAATGCTAATACCATATAAAAAATCACTGCATATAACTGGTGTATACATACTGAAAGTCACGCACTATGACATTTTGGCAATTATAAGAGGAACATTGTATACACTATTACGTAATATGCATGTAATAATCTCTCTAAATGCAGGTGACATTGACATTACTTAAATTCAATAAATAAATGCAAGGCCTAGGGCAGTTCAGTGTATACCTGATTCCTTCTGCAAGTGCATTTAAGTAAGACTTCATGTACTCTACTCTCTTGACATCATTCAGTAATTCTTCATTGCACGAATTCGGATTCTCCACCTCACCAAACCCTACAAGATCAAATTATATAGGAATCTTTGTCAAACCAGAATTTTTATTTTTATTTTTTTCGCGGAGGGGTTGGGGGGTTGGGGGAAGAGAGGGGGGGGGGGGTGCGGTGGTGGGGGGCGGCGTCATGTTTTGATGAAATATCTGAATTTGGACCTTACCATTTTCTGTGATGAAGATTGGTGTGTTGTTGTATCTGTCTTTTACATATGTTACGATCTTTTCCATTCCTTGAGGGTAGACATACAGCCAGTCAACCGCAGTCTACATCCAAAAAATAAAAATAAAGAAGGTAAATTGCTAGAAGAAATTAATTGTTTTGGCAATTGATCATATGATGAGTTTGCATACTGGTTCTCCAATGAAGACTCCGTCTTTCTGTGCAGTTCGCAATGCGAAACCCTCCGTCCTTGAAGTCCCTGGTCCTGGTTCACATGCAGAGAACATACAATCTTTTGAGTAAAAGCTCGTATAGTGATTGATGCCAATGAAGTCCAATCCACTCTTCTTCAGCATCTCCACATCAGATTTCGAAAATGCCGGCAAATCAGCTCCTAGAATCTCACGCATTTCTGCAGGATATTTCCCTTGTAGAACCGGGTCTAAGAACCTTCATTTTAAACATGTTAGTTGTAGTGACCAGAGAAATATGAGAGCAGCCTAATGCATATGGTCTCACTTACCAGTTCATATAGAAAGATATAGCCCTCTCAGCTGCTAATTTGTCTTCTAAGGAGTTGCTGATCGGTTCATACCATAAGGCATTCATAACAATTCCAATGCTACCTCCTTGTTTTTTCTGAGCGTCAAAGACATGATTAGAACCACATCGAAATAATTACACTCATGAATGAACTTCAAAACTTTGCTTCTAACCTGATATTTGGTTCTGTATAGATGGACGGCAGCTGCATGGGATAGAATGATGTTATGAGCTGCAATAAAAGGCTCTCTCTCTGAATCCCCACTAGTACAATTCCCAAAGGGTCTAGAGCAGCGAGCGGGCGGGTACACTCCCGACCTATAGCCCCGAATAACGACTACATTCGGCTCATTGAATGTCACCCAGTACTTCACTCGGTCTCCAAAGAATTTGAAACATGTATTTGCATAATATAGGAAATCCTCCCTGAAAATTGAAATGCAATCCTTATACTTATCACTTATTAGTGGCCTTTTCAGACAGATGGGAATGTTGCTACATACTGCAGTTGGGGACTTAGCCAAGCTCCATATCTGTCTTCAAGTTCCTGTGGAATGTCGTAGTGAGTCAACGTCACGAAGGGATGGATTCCTATAACATGACATAGAGAATGTTGCCAAAGAAAATGTCATATATTTCCAGCAACAATGAATTGGATGAGCACATAAACAATGGTACCAAAGAAGACCTCTACGCAGAAGAGCGTCGATGAACTTGTTATAGTGATTGATGCCAGCTCGATTCACTTTCCCAAATCTTCCTTCTGGTTCAAAGTTATAATATATGTGAGTAGAGAGGAGATGATTGGATTCTATAATATGAGTAGAAATATGTGAAAGAACGAAAAAGACTTACTAGGTAAAACTCTTGCCCATGATATGGAAAACCGGTAAGTATTGACTCCAATGTAATTCATGAGATCCAAATCTTCCTGTTTTTTCATAACAATGTCGAAGCAAGATTATCAATGTTCTATCTCTAATTTAATTTAGCCTTAACAATAAAACACAGTAGGCTTTAACTAGATTTTTATAAGGTTTCACCTTGCAGTGTTGAACACCAATTGTTCAGCTACGATCTATGAGTTTAGTAATAATTCCCACAAAATACCTTAGTATAATTGGAAGAAAATATATGTCTCCTTATTACATGTAAACAATCATTCAATTTCGACAAATTATAATCTGAAATATGTGTGTAATTTTTTTCTGAATTTTTTTTGTTACATTTGCATATTGTATGAGACTGTAATTTATAGATAAAATATCATGTTAAGTACACAACTCTAATTGGAATACAATCAACAAGGTACAGTAAGAGCTGGCCAGGCCAGAATGGGGTTTTTGGGAAAGGGTTCTTCTCCGGATCCCTTCCACCTAATTCACCAAGGTCACAAATCTGGGTTTTTGAAATTTGATTCAACGATTAAAGTTATTATAATTTTTAAATTGAACCTCTATTTGTAACCATTTGATCAAATTTCAAAGGTCCGAACTTGTGACATTTGTTACGATTAGATGAGTTAAATTTTTAGATTTGTGTAGTGGACGACACAAATCTCGAAATTTAAACTTATCTAACAGTGATAAATAAAACTAATTGAAGGTGATGAGCAAAACATGTGGTCTAATATCCTAATGAATAGGGTATTAAGTTTTCTATATCCAAAATTTGGAAGGATTCAACAAAGTATTAGAGAATATTTTTGCTCACCACTTTCAAGTGATGGCGATGCTCACCACCTTATATGTCACCATTAGATGAGTTTAAATTTTTAGATTTGTGTAGTGGGTGACACAAATCTCGAACTTTAAACTTATTTAATGGTGATAAATAAAACTAATTGAAGGTGATGAGCAAAGCATGTGGTCCAATATCCTAGTGAATAGGGTGTTGAGTTTTCACATATACGTCCTAAGTTTGAAACTCTCATTCTACTAAATTATTATAATAGTTTTGAACCTTCTTCTTTCCATAATAATAATACCAATAAATTTAAAAAATAAGAAAAATGAAAATGGTGAACTAAATTGCACCCGAGAAATTAAGCACCAGCGATTCAGTCATTTCGCCCACACTTAAAAACCATTCACGAATACAGAGAAGAGCAAATTTGGCATGTCACCTTAGATGGGACCACCAAGTGCAAAATTTAAAAAAATTTGGGTACAAGTCAGATTAGTTTTTGCCTGACCTAGGTTGAAGCAGAATTCAGAAGTCCAGCTCCAGAATTTTAACAAAAACACACACAAATATATCAGAGTATTAATAAGGTTAGTTCAATAGCCTAACCAAATAGAGATGATACTGATCATCAGCGATATCTCCATTAGTTCCATCCGAAATATGACCTGTGGCAAGCAAAATATATAACTCCACCGTTGGATTTTGACGACAAGTAAAAAAAAAACATCAAAGGGGTAGAACATAAGCATTAAACTGACCAGGCTTATGAGTAAAAACGTCCCAGTTGCTTAGGCCTTTTCCATCGGTCAGAAAAGCTCCCTCAAACTAGGAAAATATAATGAAGAAGAAACATTAATATTAAACTAAAATGAAGGACTGATTCCGATGAGTCTGTGAGTGTGGTTTGTGTGGAACGTTCTCCTCATAGTTAAAGTGATCAAATTTTCTAACTGCCTATAACAAACGGACACATATACTAAAACGATTCATAAAAGCAACAAAATAAAGGCTTATACGTGTGTGTATGTGATTTGTTTGTAAGGAAGAAAAACTTCTTACATGTAACGAGCTGCCAAAATATTTGTGTGTAGAAGTGATACCTGGTAAGAAGAGGATGCAGTTCCAAAGAGGAAGTTACTAGGGAAAGGGGATGTGGCTGAGTTTCCTTTCAAAAATATGTGATTGCAAGACACCATGGGAATCGCAAAGCATATATCAACAATAAGGAAAACATGAAGTGCTGAAAAATGCTCCATTAGAAGTTTCAGAGTATGAATGAATGAGATGGCATATATGTTGGATTTTTGGATCTGCGGGCCCGTGGGACCCCATTCTAACGACACCGATACTGTTTTCAACTTTATCACCTGCTCAATCCGTACCACTTTACCACCTGCTTAATCCGTTAAGTATGAGATTTTACCACAAAAGATCTCGGCATTAGTTAGAGTGAGGTATTTAAACCCCATTGTTTTCTTTTCACCCACCAATGTGGGATTCCAACACTTCTCCTCACTTATAACCCCATTTAGTGGTTCACACGTGGAACACATCAGCAATTGAAAATTGAAACTCAGAGGTCGGCTCTATGTTAAGAGTCCATACTTGTTTTCTTTTCACCCACCGATGTGGGATTCCAACACTTCCCCTCATGTGTAACCCCATTTAGTGGTTCACATGTGGTACATATCAGCAATTGAAACTCAGAGGTCGGCTCTTTGTTAAGAGTCCTAGCTTGTGTTCCTTCTTGGTGACAAACTTGTTGGCTTGCACGGGCTCGAACCTGGCTCTGATACCATGTTGAATTTTGGATCGGCTGGTCTGCGGGGCCCTACTCTAACAACACCAATACTGTTGTCAACTTTACCACCTGCTTAATCTGTCAGGTATGAAATTTTACCATAAAAAACCTTAGTATTAGTTAGAATGGAAGAAATCACTGACCTTTTGATGCAAAATTTGTGGTAGCCATGATACATGACTGCAGGGTGTCGCTATAGTACAAACATACCGAATAGTCAATACATAGACCTGAAAAACTTATAGAGCAGTGTAGCACCACTTAATTGGCACAATTTGATTAGTCTATTTAGTATCGATATCAATGTGGACCAACTGACAAGGCTCCATTACTGTTATTACTGTTGGTTTCGCTTAACGGTAATCAAGGCAAGAGGAAGAAATGTGAAATCAGTGAGCGAGATAGACACGAAATCGTAATCACATTGGCTAAACCATATAAAAGTATCGATAGATTTCACAGCGAGCGAGATAGACACGAAATCGTAATCACATTGGCTAAACCATAGACACGAAATCATAATCACATTGGCTAAACCATATAAAAGTATCGATAGATTTCACAGCGAGCGAGATAGACACGAAATCGGAATCACATTGGCTAAACCATATAAAAGTATCGATAGAGAAAGATGCGTCGGGAAGAATCTGGAATGTATCACCAATGAAAAGCAGGGAAATATGAACCCTGGCCTACGTATGTACCACAAGGTCACATCAAATTGATGGATCACTGTTCATCAACCAAGCATATAATTCAAAAGGAAAAGGATCCGGCGTACGTATGTTCCACAATTTCACATCAAATTGATGGATCACTATTCGTCAACCAATCATATAATTCAAAAGGAAATTCAAAAGGAAAAGGATCCTGGGATCACTATTCGTCAACCAATCATATAATTCAAAAGGAAAAGGATCATCACCTGATCCTTTCCTAGACGTTCACCGAAATTATGGAGATCAATTGACCCCCTGCCTCTCAATGCATCCGTCACTGATTGACCACAACTTTGTTCAACTTGTAATATATTTTGACAATATAATTATTTATGAAATTATTGTATTATAGTAAATGTGTAATTTTGTCGATTCTTTTATATATTACGATGTATGCAAAATCACCAGTAATTGTGGATGCTAGTCTTCGTTTACGATGTATGACGTATGCCATAATTGCTTTCACAATATTACGACACTCAACAGGCACTGTATCAAATATATATTACGACACACAAGTATGTTGTAATTGTTTTCACAATATCACGACACTTCATTAACACCGTATCTAATACCAATTAAGGCGAGCAAGGCACACCTTAAAGAGCATTTACGACGTGTTTTACTTAAATTATTCACAGCTACTAAAGAACGTCGTATTTGATAAAACATCTTTTACGACATGGGCTTTTATTGCTTGGGGGTTCACATCGTGAATAATTGTTTATGGCGTTCTTTGTGTGCCGCAAAAGACCAATTCTGTTGTAGTGTGCAATGATGTGGCCAACACCATCTTCACCAGCCATAAAGAAGAATTGGAAGTTGAAGCAGTTGGTGGGTTTTGAATATAAAGGTTGGGACGGGGTTTCAATGGTAGTAGGTTGAGCTTGGAAGTGGCAGCAGCTTTATATTTATCGATCTTCATTTTTGTTTTGCATTATGTTTGTGAATTCGTTTATTTTTTTATTTTTTTTTCATCTTCATGTCTTCTTTTTTTTTTTTTTCAAAATTATTTTTATTATTATTTTAGTGTCCAAGTAAAAAGTGGGACTCAATATTGCTATGTGTTTCGACAAAAAAAAAATGGTTACAAATACAAATACATTAAAAATATGGGTACAAATACAAATAAAACTTAAAAAATATGGGCACAAAAAGAAATTAATATATAGGTACAAATACATTAAAAAATATGGGTACAAATAAATTAAAAAATATGGGTAAATACAAATAAAAATTTTAAAAATATGGGCACAAAAAGAAATTAATATATGGGTACAAATTAAAATTGAAAAGAAAATTGGTACAAATTAAAAAAGGGTTGCAAATTAAAAATGGGTACAGACTAAAAATAAAAATATATGATAAAAAAATTTAACCATAAATATAAATATATCAAATGTAACATTTCTAATACTAAATGAATATATTTGGAAAAGAAAATATTTTACTAATGAAATAATTAATGACGTTTATTAAAACCTAAGAACCTTGATCAAAAGTTAAAAATGAAGAAGGTTTTAATCAATGAAGTAGCAAAAAAAAGATGAGAGTCTAATTTCTTAAAAAAAAAAAAAAAGTATTGAAACCTGTACATTTAACGAAAAAATTAACCGGAGCTTAATAAATATGACATTTTTAATAGGTTGTGTACTTGTTTAGAATGTTTCAAAAGCTTGAGATCTAATTAAGAACCATAAATTCCAACAGTAATGATTAATATCGACATAATAGAAGTGGATCAACCAAGCTGCCAAATTCTAAACAAAAATCATTATTGATGGTCCAAGACCATACATACTGATAGACAGAATCATTATGTATTTGCTGAATAGAATTATAGAATGACACTATTTGAGTTCCAACTACTATTCTGCCTCAAAACAACCATTCTTCTTATTGACTACAAAAATCTACAATAAAATTTCTCAACCGATGAAGGTAATGAAATCTCTTTTCTAATTCAACCAGATCCGCTAGTAACAGAGCGTGATTCTGTAAACCAACTCCATGAATCCATGACTACGAAGTTCAGAGGACCACACTCAAACTCCCTGTGATCGATTGTCGAACACTTTCAAATCCACAGGCAGATAAGTATCTTTGTCTCTCTTGATCATCTATCATACAAACTAGCTTTGGCATCTTCAAACATTCCTCACTGTTTACCCTGCAAGCAAAGTTAATAGCGGAATCGTTAGCCAAATCGGAGCCACAACTACATAAAAAATTCCAACTTCGAAAGGGTAGTCAAGCAACTCTTTGGAGATGGCCATTTTAATAGGCTGTGATTTAAATGGTACATACATCCAATGAAAGTGTGTGTTCGTTTTTATGTATGTATAACTTAGAGTGTATACACTTATGTGTTGTCACTCTCCCAATGTCATGTCAAGGAGAAAGACACATAAAAGTGTATATAGTCTGTTGTATGCAAATCTCTCTCGCAGCTTGGTATGAAAGGTCAGAAACATTGTCAATTTGATTGCCCCCCTAATTGTTTAGCGGCCCTTGAAAGGCCAACTTCTTTGGTTGTCCTGTCACCATATTGACAAAGGGCACAGAGAGTGCAAAACGAAAACAAAACACAAAAGTTGTCCACACATGACCAATAGGCGATTTGGTCCCAAGATATATTTCCACATTCCAATGGCTGCAAAAGGCGGGTGCAATGGCTGCTCCGAGTGCGCTGACAGGTTGAACAGGCGTGTAGAATATTATGATGGAGGAGACCATGACGGATATCCGCTTCATTGTGTTCCCAACGCTGAATGTTAAGGGAGATATCTGATCTGGTGACATGTATGAAACCTGATTATAGGAGTGATAGAAGACACTCTGTACCACCACCCACCTGTTCACATTTAGATGTACAGATTACATAAGTAAGACAATCAAGGAGAAAGGTATTTAATGTTCTAGTCAAGCACTATTTGAGTTTAGTCAAGTTCATTACCATCGCTTGTTTAAAAAAACCTATGATTCAAGCACCCCTTTATGTCCTCTATGTGCATCACCAAAGACAACAATTTTACAGACAGTTATTAGTCATCGTATATTTACCATACGAAATTGGGACCGATCTGTGCAAGAGCAGTTCCATCCAGCAGCCCACATCTTGGGGCCCTCCACAGCGATGGCAAACGGAATCAGGATTAATAGAGACAACATGGAGCGTAATAGTTCATCCCACCGACAGACTTCCCCTTCAACCCTGTCTTGGAATATATGCTCCTGAACACGAATGCCAGGTTCGATACCATAGCCCTCATGAACCCTGATGCACATAGCAGCATTCTTTTAGTCCTCATAACAAATTAAGACACTTCAAAAGCTCCAAAGCCACAATTTATCAAAACCCTTCAACATTTTTTATTGCAATATCAAATGTGGTGAAATTTGAACAAGTTTTCTAACCAGTCATGTTGAAATTCAGCTCGGTTGCAGCAGCGAGCGCGCATCCTCCAATGATTGGAAAGAGCGAGAGGTAAACTGAGAGAGGAAACGATTCACCTAACAAGAACCTTGAAACCAATACACTGAATGCAGGCTCACTGCTCTTGATGATGTGAGTGAACGAAACTGCTACCTTCGCCATGCTCACGGTCGCCGCGACATGCCCAATTGTATGTGCCACCGCAACCTGCACACATAACCAAAACAAATACAAAACAATTTTAAGAAAACAGAATTAGGAAAATGATTTCCGCACAGCCTCCGCAGATTATTTCTGTCACTTATTCTCCGCTCATTCAATCCAAAGACCAGAAAAGAAGTAAACACAATGTGCAGAAAAAAAAAAAGTGTGCGGACATCATTGCACTTTCAGCCTTTTACTTACCTCGAAGCAAAGTCTTCCAAAAATCTAAATCAGTTTTTGGAGCCTCGGCAATCCTGGTGGCCCATGTAACGAGCATCATGAGCGACCCAGTTGCGAGGCGGAGAGTTGATGTGAGCCATGGATATGGAAACACATTCAAAACCTTCTTGTTGTAGATATTGAACACAACATTCAGAGCCCACCAGGTAGCAAGGTATAAACCAATTTTCAGCCTCTGAGCCGCCTCCTGCTGGTCTGGCAACTCAATCTTGATCTCCAGCGGCCGCGACTGGTCTGCCTCGTAGGCCTTGCAGACGGAAGTTCCCTTCTGGTTTTTGCCGGCCAATGAGAAACACTAGCCAGAAGATATGCGAAGGGGTTTGAGGGAAGTGGAAGGAGAGGTTTTTTGGGCCATTTGGAAATTGGGTAGAAATAAAGAGTGAGACTTTATCAGACACCTCCTGCTCAAGAACTCCGGAGACGCAAAAGTCGGAGTTCTGAGTTTCAATGGAGAGATCTGCATGGTGGGTTTTGGAGTCTAGATTTAATAATAAAAGTTTCTTGGGATTGATTCGTAATAAGTTTGGCGGGTAATGAAGGGAAAGCTTTTGAAACGGTTTTTGTTGGGATGCATGAGAGAGAGGCAGGGGCAGAGGGATTATATACGCGTTGAGGGAACGAGGGAGGTGAGTGGAATTTTATACCAAGTAATTGAGTGGTGAAAAACTAATGCAAGTAAACATTTTTAACCATCTTTTCTAAAGACTTAGAAGCTGGCTCGAGAACTTCTCGAGCCATTTGAGACCCCTCTCGGTCCCTCAAGTCTCACTTGAGCATTTCTTGAGCTCTTCAAGACATCTCTTCACGGAGAGTTATGAGGAGACTAGAATGGTTTCACACTTATTTTGATGTTTTTTTCACGCACAAAAAATTAGTGTTATACTTATGATTTTCAAAGTTTTTCCTTGAGCTCAAGGCCCCAATTCGACGTTTTTTCATCAATTTTGCTCATCGGGTTTGATTTAAGGTTGGTGGCTCATATGAAACTTCATGGCATCTTGCTTGATTGATTTCAAAGTTGTAGGCTAAGGAAACATAATACTACAATTTTGATCTTCTCCTCTTAGCTTCGCTAAAAAAATCTCAGCCATCATTATTTGAAAATCCAAACACCTCAACAAGCGATATTATACTTTAAATTAATTTAAATTACAAAACAAAGAATTCGATTTCAAGTGCATAAGGAAAGCACGTTTGTTCTAACTACGCTTACGTCTGCAACTGACCCCGCTTTTTTCATTCACCTACTTTGATTCAAGTTACCCAAGATTGATGTAACCAAAGAAAACAGAGCACTTCTCTCTCCAGCTGCTGCAAATTCTAGACCGCAAACCTAAGCCACATTCCAAAGTCCGCATGTAAACGACATCATTTTGAGTAGAAATATTGAGCAGAAGCACAAATATCTGATTGAGAAAGACAGAAACCTGGGGCCTCTTGCTGTAAGGCACTTTGGATTGCATTTGCATCTGCATCCCATGTTACAGCATGATGCTGATTTCCAATGTTCCTTTCAATAATTCATATTAATACATTGGACGATCCAAAAAAATCCATGTATTTAATTGACCGTACAAATATGATTCTGTTTGATTTGATTTGGTCTAGTTTCAATTATGATTTTAGTTAAAATTGAACTAAATTTGTTACATGTCTACTCTTAATTTGCATCTCATATTGAATAGAAAAGGCCGACCCCAAGCCAACAAGGCTCTTTGCTTTGCGAGGGTTGGGCGAGGAACACTTATTGTGCGCAGTCTTATCATTGCTTTGCAAAGTGGCTGTTTCCAAGATTGGAATCCATGACATTTTGATTACAAAAGAGCAATTTTTTCATTACGCCAAGGCTCGCGCTCTATGCATCTCATATTGAATGATCCAAAAAAAACCAACTAAAAAGTACTTATTGATTTTACTGACAATGGTTTGATTTGATTTCAACTATTATTTTAGCCAAAACAATCATATTTATTGCATATTAATTTGTTTGTCGCAACTGAATTGTGAAATCGAACCATTCAAACTGCACCATGCTTGCCCTTAATTTGTATCAGACATCGTTTTTTTTCTTTTCAGTATAATATGATGCTGATTTCCAATATTTTCGTTCAATAATATATATGTTAATTGTGGACGATGGAAAAAACTTTAAGTAAAATGTTAATATTGACGGCTAATGCAAAAGATGGTAGTAAGTTGGCCTGGTTGGGGTCTGTCTGGCTGATAGCAACAGTGGTTTTGTTTGGATTAAGGCATTAAGGCTGTCTTTATTTGACCAGAGCTGTAATTGTGCAGGCATGTGTTTTTGGTCGTGCTAAACGTAGAAGCAAATGGTTTGAGGTGTCGTTTTTAGGTTTGGTGGGATCCATACAGGTACACTGCTTTCATGCACGTGACTTGCAGGTGCTGCTTGCATCACATGTGAACAAAGTCCATCCCAACATTGCATGGTTGGATTATAACAAGTTTGATCAATTCGTTGGCTAACACAAATGTGGGTTAACCAGTTAGCTGCCTTTTACACTCGAGTTTAATTCTTAGAATATCTTATAAGAAAGAAAGAAAATTTCTAGTAATCTAGAAGGAAGGAAAATTTCAAGCAATTGGATTGAACGAATCAAAAGAGAATCAACAACAATCAAATCTTATTCCACTAAGTAAAGTCGGCCGTATAAATTCTAAAACGCTATTGCGCTCGATTTTGCATCAAGTCTTCCATTAGTATTCAATGGACAAAAACAAGAGTACAAGAGGACGATATGAAAAGTGTGAAAGTCATTACCCTTCTTAGTACACAATGGTCAGAAAGTAACCCTACAGACTTGACTGTTTTGCCAAAATGTGCATGTTATACTCTGTCAGTGAAGTTGAACATAATCAACATACAGTTGAATCAGTAACCATTTGTGCTTATCAAAACAAATAAACACAAGACATTGCAGGTCAGTAAGTTCAAAAGGAAGGGATGTCAGAAAATAAGCTAAGGTCTATAGTACAAATTACAACCTTGGGATCTATCAAAATTCAAGAACTTCACAGCTTTCTGATCCTTAGGGAAGACGTGATAACTGTTTGGCAACTCGCGTCTTCATCTCTCGACCCCCTTTAAAATTTGTGCAGCAAACCAGAACCATCTTCTCCAAGACCGTTGCATGCTTGAACTAAACCTTTAAAGCGTCAAGCTCGTTCGGGCTTCCCCAGAATTGATTCACTTTAAACGTCTGAAGATGCGACAAGAAATATGAAGGCAGTGGCTCCAACACCCCATCATCTTCTATATTATTCGACGACAGTTTAATCCCCTAAAACTATCATAACTCGACCATGTTAACAAAGTTGCATGAGGCCACGATACAAGAGAAAACATTGCGGTTACTCATTGAATATCAGAGTTTGAAGACGGGGGAAGTATTGGAGCATGATCAATAGCACTTTACTACCAATATCTACCGGAGCTACTTCCAATACCAAAGTGGTTACGTCATTGAACAATGGTACTTGTGCAAGAAGTTCTACTGCATTATTTAGAACCACCTAAGATCACGGTGAAGCAAAATAATCAAAACTAAGCCATTCTAAACAAGTTATTCATGCCACATAATGCGAAAAAACAGATGCAATTTTTAAAGAAATACGCGGCATACCAAATGAACAATGGCAACTAACCAATAAAAGAGAAGAAATTGTACCTTAAAGCCATCAAAAGGAGAGATAGGTGCTTCACACTGGAGAGACCTCTAAGGACCTTATACAACCGGTAAGCAAGAAGCCTAAATCTCTCCACAGAATCAAAATTCAATCTCAGTGTAATCATGCGCGGAAGAGTTACAAAAGATATATTCATTTAGGAATTCACCCCTGAGATAAAAATATTCCAGGCTAACTCCACTACCGTAATCTGACAACCATCTGAAGCACTGGAAAGTTCCGAGCCGCCTTCAAATATTATCAACCCCAATAGCTTGGGAGCACAAATACTCACAAATTTGAGATTCTCCCAACTGCAGACTTCCAGAGATAATTCCTCAAGGACTGGACAAATAGAAAACAGCTGCTGTGTTGAGTAGTCATCCGAAAACACCACGGAATCAAGAGACAACGTCTTCAGACTTGAGAATCAAACAGTAGAAGGAAACTTGACAAGGCAGGCCATATTTAGATTAACTCCATCAGTGTTGCAGAAGTAAATAAGGAATGAGGGAACGAAAATGGTCCGTTGAAGTTAATATTATTCAGGAAGATATGAAGCTCTTTAACAATGCGCCTTACAGCGGCAGAGATCCACAACTTCGCACACGACATGCATCACCAAGTACTGGAAACCCAAGATCAAACTTTTCTATGTCAGCGGGGCCACGAAGTACAAGCGCTCTGTCTACAACATTCACCAGGGGAGATCTTCCAGCATTATTAGAGTGATATAAGTAAAGGCGGGGAATTGATGTCCATAAGTATTCCCATCTTTTAGACAATATGCTTGTTCTGATTGCGTCTTTCATTTCAAGCATGGTGATAATTTTTTCGATAAGCTCATCGGGCAAGTTGCTTAACCATTGCTGATCTCTTCTCTTCCATCCAGCTTCTGCCTTTTGGAGTTTAGTACTCGAGAATTTGTATACATAGCTCAGATGGTTTCCCTACTGTAACAAAAAAACTGAACTTTCAGGTAAAAGTAACTTGAAACCTACTTAGGAAATGGTAGAAACCTTATAAAATTAACAGTGAGGCTCGTTTCAGAAACTAAGCCATCCAAAACTTACTCTCAAAACAGGAAGGCTCATTTGGGATTGATTCTCTAGAGAGCACGCTTGCTCATAAGCACTTCCACTAGAAGCACTTTAGATGACAAACACGTTGATATTTTTTTTTTAATTAAAAATCGTGCTTCCGAAAGAGCATTTGGCAGTTGTTTTTCTAAAAAACGCTTCTATCATTCATACAAAAGCACCAGTTGGAAGCGAAAACGCTTTTACCCCTTCTAGTCCAATTCTCACAGTGCATTACAGTTACAAGTAATACATTAATACTCGTCCCCTCTCATTTGGGAATTTAGCCATAGTCCTATCTACTTATTGTTCCTTTTGTTAATTACAGACAATATAGACAGTACAGTGCAGTAAAACCTTAGTGTTTGGCAATTTTAATCTTTGCTTACAATTAAGTAATTCCAAATCAATTTTAACCTTCAGAGCAAAGAAACGCCTAAAATCCGACCACTTTGGATGCAAACTATGCCGACTACATCTTCAAAACATTACAATGCGATAAAGTTTGGTACTTGAAAAATTAAAACTTGTTGAGAGTATATATTAATCCCACGGGAAAAAAGGGGACCTTACATGTTTTATAAGCAGTGGCGAAGCCAGGAATTCTTGGGAGGGGGGGCGAACTTATATGCTAGGCTAACAAGGTTCATTTTCAAGCATTTGACGTCTTTGTCCAGGGTCTGTAGGAAGATTAGCTAATATTTCATCCAACTCAATAACCTCACTTTGTTGTGAACTATCTAGAATACTCGAAGGAGGACTACTCAAAATATTTGAAGGTAAAGAAGGACTACCTGGAATATTTGAAGGAAGAGGAGGATTATCCGGAATATTTGGAGACGGATTTAAGCACTATTTCTTAATAGTATCGTTCCATTACGTAATTGTACAATGAAAAAAAATATATCTTAGACTCTTAATCCTAGAGTAGACTATAGGTAATATCTAATCAAACCACGAATTTAATTAATCAATACGAACAATCATATGAATAATCAAGAATTCAATTTTTATTTTAAACAACAATTAAAATTTGAATAAGTTGATTAGGGTTTATAGTGGTTACTGCAATCAATTTTTATTGCTAGACCATAAGTGATTCAAGTTCCTATAATATATAATGTATGAATCCTCTTTTATGTACTTCAAAAAAAAAAAAATCAATAACCATAGTATTCATATGAATAATCTATAATCGATAACCATTAAAAAAAAATTAAAAATTTACCTCAATTAAAGCGGGTGGCGTGGCGTCTGGAGCTTGGTGGCCAACGGAACGGGATGGCTGATGTGCTTTCTTGTGTTCAATCCTGGGATTTGGGACAATTTTGAAAATTGAAGTATGGGAAGAGGGTAAAGGTGGGGGGATAAGATTTGTAATCTGGGAAAGGGGAGGAGTAATAGTTGAAACGAGGTGGGATTGGGATGGAGACCAGTGGTCCCTCCCTTTTTTAATTTTTTTTTTTATTTGATCAATGGAAAACGACGCCATTTACCAAACAAACATTTTTTTTTTACCAGGCCCAAAACGATATCGTTTTGGCCTGGATTTAAACAAAAAAAAAAAAAAAATCCTTGCATGCTGGAATCACTTAAAACCACCATGGTTCCTAGATTTTGCCCGAACCAGAGGGGTTCAAGCTATAAGTAATTGAGTTACTTCCCACACTGTCAATTGTTTACATGGTTTATCACCGTTTTTCGCACTTTTGTCCTTATAGCTTCATTTTGTTTGCACTGTTGATCTGGGAGACACTAGACCGTCAATGACTTTCTCTTGTGTAACCTAAGCAGGGGTTACTGGCTTAAGCTATTTTTTAGCAGGGTAAAAATATTACCAATGGATATCTACTTAAGTTGGTGAACATCTCCTTTTTCTCTCTTTGTATTTTTTTTATCCTATCGCCATCTCTACCATCATTGTTATCTCTGCACTCTAACCATCACATTTCACTATTGGCATCACCATCATAACTCCACCATTGACGTTACCATCACTACCATATAATAACTTAAGACATTTTAAATGTTTATATCTTATTTTTGAAACATAAAAGTAAAAATCCCACCAAAAACCGGTCTGAAAGTTTAGCTTGTTGAGGTCAGAAATCATAAAGAGACAATTATGGAGAGGTGCATGCATCCTTCCTTCACCATTTCATAAAGCACACCACACGTGACCCTCCCTTCCACCCATAGTACCATCACTCAAATCAACCTAGAGACTCTCAAACCATTTTGACAAAATCGGAAACTTTTTTTATTTTTTTTTATTTTTTATTATTTCCATCACTCAAATTAGCCTAGAGACTCCCAAACCATCTTGACAAAACCGGAAACTTTTCTTTTTTTTTTATTCTTTCCATGATTCAAATTAGCGTAGAGACTCCCAGACCATTTTGACAAAACCGAAAACTTTTCTTCTTATTTATTCTTTCATTTTCCTCATCATCTTTGTTATCTTTCTGTTTCCTTTTCTTCAGTTCTTCTTCTTTTTTTTCGTTTTCCTTCTGTAAATTCTCCCTTCTTTTTTTCCTCTTCTTCTGTTTTGCGCTTTTAAGTTCCTCTTGTTTGGTTGATTTCAAAGAGGGAGTCACAAAAGCTAAGAAGGTCGTGGTGCATAAAGAGAAGGAGTCAAAGCGGCGAGAAAGCTTTTACAATTCTAAGTATGTGTTCGGAATTACTTCCCAGGAAACCATTTCACTCTGTCTAGACAGCCGCCTAGACCGCCTAGGTAGCCTAAGAGCGCCTAGGCGGACGCTTAACAGCTCCTCGATTTTTCCTAACGTTTTGGACCTAATCGGATCGGCACACTTACGCCCAGTGCCTAGGCCCTTTTTTAGAACACTGCTTTTATGTTAAAATTTATAAACGGTTTTACATTGCTTTTCATACTCATAATATTTTTACAAATACAGTTTATCAAATGCTCGTCTGCTTTATTATTCTGTAAATTTGAATAATTCAGAATTTTGACATAAAAAAAATTACTATCTTTATATTGCAACCATTGGTAATTTAAATAGTCAAGTAGCAACAACAATCAAACCCGGATAAGGGAAAATATTGTGAAATTTGATTTTGTCAAATAAAACAAGATAAACGACTTGTCGTTTCTTGGAAGAGAGAGCCGAAAAGGGAAATTGTGAAGGGAGGGAAAGAGGAGGACACCCGCGACCTCTCGGGTCACGAGGAAAGCCACTTCCCAGAATCAAAAGCCAAAACCACGCCGTTTTCTTCTATTTCTATGGTGGTGGTGGGAAAGCCAAGCCCTAATTCTTATGCAATCCTCCTCCTCCTTCCGCCGTGGGCCGACACCCACATCCGCTCTTCAATAACCCTAATTTCCCCAACAGCCCCAATTTCTCCAATCACCCACATCGACACTCCCCACTCTTCTCCCCCAAACTTCCATGGACTCGGAAAGGCTCACACTTTCCCGAGAGAACCCTAGAATCGCTTTTTCCCCGCACTCCTCCGCCGACGGAAAGGCCATGTCCGGTACTGAGTTAGCTCAGAAGCCCCAGCCTCCGACTCCGATAGTCGACCGATTCAGGGCTCTGCTCAAGCAGCGGGCGGAGGACCTGAGGGTTTCGCCCGACGACGAGGTGTCGCCGCCCAGCACTGAGGAAATCGTCCACCTTTACGAGATGGTGTTGTCGGAACTTATCTTTAATTCGAAGCCCATCATTACCGATCTCACCATCATCGCCGGCGAGCAGAGAGACCATGGAAAGGGCATTGCTGACGCCATCTGCGCCCGGATTCTCGAGGTCTGTTTCGGTATCTGCGGGTTGCTTCTACCTCTTTTGATTATTCGACGGAGCTTTGCTGAATTGGTGTATGCCAAATGGGGATTTTTCTTTTGGGTGTTTTCTGTTTCTGTGCAACCCAGATTGGACTTGTGTAATTGTTTGAGTTGTAGGAATTGTAAAAATACCAATCTTTACTCCAAAGGTTCTAATTGCTACCACGCTGCCCAAGTTGATCTTTTTCTCTGTTTGGTTTCTTAGAAATTTAAATTTTAGATTCTTGATATTACTCAATTGGGAAGAACAACTTCAAAAGTTGTAATCTTTACTTTCGCGTCTTTTTCTTCGTTTTTGATCGAGTATTATGAACAGAATGACCTGCAAAAGAAGATTTTCATTAAGCTTGATCATACAGAATCTTTGTTTTCATGAACAAACAAGCAAAACTTCCCAGGGAAATATTAGCCATTCTTGAATCAACAACCTTAAGGCTACAGGAATTGCGATAAAAACAAGGATCAGCACCAAATTTTTGATAATATGTTTAAGATGCAGCTCTGAGTCGCTTGTTGTTACTCTAATAGAACATTAATCTGCAGTTGAATTTTAATAACTGTGTCAGGCCTGCCGCAAAAGAAGTTGCGGTGCTTCACACATTAGTCAAGTTGAAGATTGCCTAATTGTGTGATACTTGTCTATTGCAGGTCCCGGTCGAGCATAAACTGCCTTCACTGTATCTTTTAGACAGTATTGTCAAGAATATTGGCCGAGAATATGCAAAGTTTTTCTCTTCCCGTCTTCCTGAGGTTTATAACTTGACTGCAGCTGTACCTTTGTTATCCCTAATTTCAAGTATATGCATAGATAGTGTTCTTTGGTAATCACACAACTCTATGTTCACATGATTTTATTTATGCATTAGGTCTTTTGCGAGGCATACAGGCAAGTACACCCTAATCAGCATCCTGCCATGCGGCACCTCTTTGGCACTTGGTCAGCAGTGTTTCCACCCTCAGTTCTTCGCAGGATTGAAGAGCAACTGCAATTTTCTCCGCAAGTAAACCAACAATCATCAGGCTTAGCACCTTTGAGGACTTCTGAATCTCCTCGACCAACTCATGGCATCCATGTCAATCCAAAATATTTACGTCAGTTGGACAGCTCAACTGTGGATGGTGTAAGCTTTCCGTGTAATCTCTCTCTTCTAATCTGCTGAAAAGACACTTCAACCTGCATTTACTCTAATAGTGAAAATTTTATCTATGTTTCCATTGGCTAACATTTTTTAGTTGGAGATCTATTATTCAGATATTTAGTTCTAGCTTTACCACCAATCATCAGTAGAAAAGATAATTTATGACGAATGTTTTTAGAAGAGTTCACTTTTTTCTTTTATTATAATGATTTTGGGTTTCTTTAACATAAGGATTTTGGTTCGCTTTTCCCAGTTGGTTTGTGATTAGGTTTTGTCGAGTAGGACATCCAATTCCTAGTAGAACTTGGATTGTTAATTACGATTTTCCAAGTCTGTGTAGAAGTTGGATTTGATCCCTAAATAAAGGCCTAGCTTAGAATTGTATTTATAGCTTCAGATTATTAAACAAATTTTGAGACTTCTCCAAACTTGGAAAATTCAAGCATATAGCATAAAGGAAATTCAAGTTGATCATTTTATTGAATACGATGCTGTTTCTGTTTACACACTCTATAGAACTGTGGCATTCAAATCTGTAATTCTGTTAACATAAAGGTCAAACGTATATTCTTAGAATCGTGCTGTTATGAATAACAAGTGTGATTATAATAATGCAAAGGTTGTATCCTTGCAGGTTGGACCCCAAAGATTAAACTCAACAGGAAGTATGAGTCATTCACCTTTTGCCATGGGGTCCAATCAGTTGCACCCACCTTCAACTGCTAGGCTTGCAAGATCATCTTCGCCTTCAAATATTGGGCTTGATGGGTCTTTGCCATCAGCAGTTGATGAATATGAAGCAGAACAGTCTCCAAAAAGGTTTGTTGAGAGGGCTTCTCCATCTCATTCTGTGTTTGATTATAGACTTGGCGGAGCAATGGGTAAAGATGAGGAGTCCAATGAATGGCGGAGAAATCGCTATCTTGATGGCAGTCAGAAGCGGTATGAGACTTCTGCTGCATATAATGGAGTCGAGCATCAGAACCCAAGAGCTTTAATTGACGCATATGGGAAAGATAGTGCGGATAGAAGTTTAAACAATAAGCCTCTGCTAGTTGGGCGGCTGGGCCTGAACGGTATAGATCGTAAGGCAACTCCAATGTCATGGCAGAATACTGAAGAGGAAGAGTTTGATTGGGAAGATGTGGCCCCAAATTTAGCAGACCATGGTAGGGGTAACGATTTCTTGGCCTCAACTGTATCGCCTTCTAGAAGCTACAGGGCAAGCCTTGGAACACAAAATGCAAGCTCCTTGGAGCCAGATGTTAGGAGTACTTGGTCTAGTCAGGCACATCCACCATCAGCCGAACAGTCCTCTATTATAGCTGAAGATCCAGTTCCCCCACTTGGTGTATGTTCCCTCTACTAGTTTCTTAAGCATTTTGGTTTAGTTAACATGAAAAAATAAATGATTTTTATGTTTGCCTTCACTTAATTAGTTGGATTGCAAACTTTTCATAATTGCTTCCCTGTTATTTCTACCTATATCCTGCTATTTTGATTCTTCCGTATTATTTATTTCTTATATTAGGAATTTTTTAAGAGTTTTTTTGGGGGTCTTGGGGTGGGTTATGTTAGGCCATGCAAAACTTGTTTTAAAATATTTTTTAGCTCGTTTCTTGCATTTTGGGCCCACTCACTGTTAGCAGTAGTTTGGACTAGTCAGTTTCCAGGTCAAGTGGTATCTTAGTTGAGGTCCTGGTCATCTGCCATTCATTATTCTTTTTCTGCACCTGTGACTGCA